TCAAGTGTCAAGGATTTGGCCACATAGCCTCCGACTGTCCAAATAAGAGAGTTGTCACCATTATCGGAGGAGAAATTCATGAAGCCTCAGAAGATGAAGCAGAAAAGGAGCAAAATGATGAAACTGAGTCATCCTAGCTTGAGGAAGAACTCACCCTAGCTAACCATGGAGAATCTTTGGTTGTGCGTCGTAGTCTACATGCTACCATAACCAAGGATGAAGATTGGCTTCGACATAACATCTTTCACACCAGATGCACTTCTCGAGGGAAAGCCTGTAATGTCATCATTGACAGTGGAAGTTGTGAGAATGTTGTGTCAAATTACATGGTTGAGAAGCTAGGTCTGCCTGTCAAAGATCAACCCCATCCATACAAGTTACAATGGCTACGAAAGGGAAACGAGGTAAAAGTAACCAAACGTTGCCTTGTCTCTTTTTCTATTGGTAACAGGTACCAAGACGAAGTATGGTGTGATGTTATTCCTATGGATGCTTGTCACTTGTTACTTGGTCGCCCTTGGCAATTTGACCGAAAGGCTATCCATGACGGCCATACCAACACCTACTCGTTTGTGAGAGATGGTGTGAAGGTCAAGCTCACTCCCTTGAAACCTGAAGAAACACTTGAAAAGAAGGATGAGGACAAGGCTTTAATCTCCAGATCAACCTTTCAGAGGTTGCACCAAGAGTCGGGGATAGCATGTCTCCTACTATTATCCAAAGTAAATGATGCCACCTGCCCTTTTCCAGAAGCAATTCGATCTTTCCTTGAAGAATTTTCTGATGTTGTTCCTGACGAGATCCCTCCTAGATTACCAACAATGAGAGACATTCAGCATGCCATTGATTTCATCCCAGGATCTGTCATTCCAAACAAGCCTACTTATCGGATAAATCCTCAAGAGTATGAAGAACTTCAACGACAAGTCAAAGAACTGATGGAGAAAGGACTTGTCAAGGAAAGTGTTAGCCCATGTGCCATGCCTGTGCTACTCGTCCCAAAAAAAGACGGAACTTGGAGAATGTGTGTAGATAGTCGAGCAGTCAACAAAATCACTATCAAGTACCGCTTCCCAATTCCACGTCTTGATGATATGCTTGATCAACTGCATGGAGCTACTATCTTCTCAAAGATTGATTTGAGAAGTGGATATCACCAGATTCGAATGCGTCTCGGTGATGAATGGAAGACAGCATTCAAAACTAGAGATGGTTTGTACGAGTGGACGGTCATGCCATTTGGATTGTTGAATGCTCCCAGCACTTTCATGCACCTTATGAACCAGGTATTTCGACCCTTCATTGGGAAATTTGTTGTGGTTTACTTTGATGATATCCTGGTATATAGCAAGAATGAATAGGAGCACCTAGACCATCTTCGGCAAGTTTTTGAAGTCCTTAGAGAACAGAAACTTTATGCTAATCTCAAGAAATGTTCATTCCTCACTACAAGTGTGACATTTCTTGGATACATCATCACTGCTCAAGGTATCAAGATGGACCCCAGTAAGATTGATGCTATTGTCAACTGGCCTACACCAACATCGATGCATGATGTTCGAAGCTTCCATGGCCTGGCATCTTTTTACCGGAGATTCATCAAGAATTTTAGTTCTATTGTTGCCCCAATCACTTACAGCCTTAAGGGTGACAAATTTTCATGGAGTAGCAAAGCCCAACAGAGTTTTGAAGAATTAAAGAGGAAGCTCACTGAAACCTTTGTACTTGCACTTCCCAACTTTGACCTGATGTTTGAAGTAGATTGTGATGCTTCTAATGTTGGAATTGGTGCAGTGTTGAGTCAAGAAGGTCGACCCATTGCCTTCTTCAATGAAAAGTTAAATGACACAAAGCTCAGATATTCCACTTATGACAAAGAATTCTATGCAATTGTTCGAGCCTTAGAGCATTGGAGTCATTATCTTCTTTCCAAAGAATTCATCTTGCACTCTGACCATGAGGCATTGAAGCACTTGAATTCTCAACAGAAGATCAGTCGCCAACATGCTGCTTGGAGTGAATTTCTACAAGCTTATCCTTTCATCCTCAAATACAAATCTGGAGTCCAGAATCGTGTAGCTGATGCTCTGAGTCGCCGACATGCCTTGCTTACTTCCTTACAAATGAAAGTCATTGGATTTGAAGTGATCAAGGAGTTGTATGAGGATGATCCTGATTTTAGCAACATTTGGCAAGCCACTCCTAATCAAGCCTTTCAGCAATATCATCGCCAGCAAGATTACCTCTTCAAGGGTAACCGACTATGTGTTCCACATTGCTCACTCCGAGATTCAATTATCTGGGAAGCACATAATGGTGGATTAGCTAGTCATTTTGGGAGAGACAAGACTTTAGCTCTTGTTAAAGAAAGTTTTTACTGGCCAAAGTTGGAGCAGAATGTCATTCGTCACATTCAAAGATGCAAAGTTTGTCACCAAGCCAAGACAATCAATCAAAACATAGGGTTGTATCTGCCATTGCCTATCCCAACTTCACCTTGGGAAGATGTTAGTATGGATTTTGTCCTTGGTTTACCACGAACTCAACGAAGCAAGGATTCTATCATGGTCGTGGTTGATAGATTTTCTAAAATGGCTCACTTTATTGCTTGTCAGAAAACTAATGATGCTTCTCTCATTGCTGAGTTATATTTTAGAGAGATTGTGTGTCTACATGGAGTTCCAAAGACCATCACTTCAGATAGAGATGTGAAGTTCATGAGTCATTTTTGGAGGACTTTATGGAGAAAGATGGGCACTCAACTCCAGTTTAGTTCTGCTAGCCATTCCCAAACCGATGGGCAAACTGAAGCTATCAATAAGATTTTGGGGAATCTACTACGAAGTTTTGTGGGAAAGAATTTGCGACAATGGGATCTTGTGCTTGCCCAAGCTGAGTTTGCCTACAACAACTCTTTGAATCAAGCTACGGGAAAATGCCCATTTGAAGTTGTATATAGAGTGCGTCCTCTCAATCCTTTAGATCTTGCTCCATTGCCCACATCTCAACAATTTAGTGCAGATGCTTAACAACGAGCCAAGGAGATCAAGAAACTTCATGAAGAAGTTCATTAGAAGCTACAACGTCAAACCATTAGGTATAAGGCTCATCATGACAAGCACCGAAAGAAGGTTGTGTATAAAGAAGGAGATTGGGTTTGGATACACCTTCGAAAGGAAAGGTTTCCTAATCGACCTAATGTCAAACTCTC